TGCCAAGTACGAAGAACCGCCCCTCGGAGAGTTGAGGTACCTAAGCCTCAGAAATCTATACACGCTGAGTCTTCTGAGAGGGCGCTTGACCGGGAAGACAGACCAAGCAGAGGGAATCACCAGAACTCTGAAACCGACCTCCTTTACGAAACTCGAGTCTCTGCGGTAGGAAGCGCAAATCCGAGACTGGTCAGGTGTGACGGTGCCAGCACCTGAGCCGCTGTGCTTAATGGTATAGATCTCTCCAGAGCGACTTCGACTGTTCCCTCCACTCGATAAAGTATCCCAAGCGAAGAATCCTTCGACGAACCTGAAGACTCAGATGATGTACCGCTAAACGCCTCAAGCTCCAGCTCCTAATCTTGCCCCTTGTATGGCCTGAGCCGCCTCTCCCCTTCTCAGTGTCCCGATGCATGCCGAGTCATCTCAGAATGCACCCGGTTTAGAAGGATGGCGGTCGTCGCATTCTCCGCCGAGGCACGCCCTATGTCACGTATACCGTGCATCAGATTCAACAGACCCCGCACTAACTGACATTTCTAAGTAAAAACGCCGAATAATGACACACGGAACGAGCCCGTGCGCGTCGCCTCGTTCCGGAGCGCGAGGAATAATCCACTGCACGCAACTTGTGACTCATCGTTTATTGAAGACCTGTACATTGAATTCGTTTTCAGACGCAAAGCCGAATAAGTAGGGCTCGACTTTCGACGCGGCTTCCCAGCCGGGGATTCGCGGCAACTCCGAGCTCCCATAGACTTTCTATGGCAAAACGCCTCGCAATGTCACCGAAAATCGCGGTCACGGTCACGGCCAGCGACGATAGTCGAGCCCTACCGATGAGCGTTCATCCTAGGCTCTGCTCGCGGATTTCGGGCAACCGTTCTCGAAAGGAAGCGATCGTACGAAATTCCTCACTTTCCTGCGATACTCTCTGTGACCACTGTCTCTTCCTTCTTCAAGGATCTCGAATTTCTTCAAGATATCGTTTGTGGCGTAGCAACGTGTATCGAACCCGATCACTGAATCCATATGATTAAGCTTATTCCCATCGATGAATTTGACGTCTTTCGCCTTCAATTGAGCGGCCACTTTCCGCGCGGTCCCGACACCGGTGAACACGTCGTTCTCTACATAGAAAAAAGAGAAGGGCACTCCGACAGCTGCAAAGTCGTACTCTGGTGGCTCAGTCTGGAGATCGAAGACCTCTGTGAGTATAGGCTAGAAGAGATGCGCGTAAACCCGCAGGATAGAAGTCGTACGATCTACACAGGAATCACGTGCCTGGCTGTACTCCGCTTCGTTAGTACGATCAATCTGTGGGATTTTGCGGAAGTCGATCTTCGTCCATGGGTACTTCTTCCATTCCTGACCATAGTTGTAGGCAGTCATCATCGTCACACCCCCAGGATATTTGCTGAAGTAGATTTCGCTTCGACTCTGCAATAATGGTCGTGAGTCGATTAGAACTCGGAAGAGGTTCGAGAACCTGCGGAAGCAGTTTCCATCGGGAGGAAGAACTCGCGAGATGCCAACCGTGTTCAAATGAGGGTCCGTGAATATGCCCGTGTACAAATCTCGATTCAATAGGAGATTGTATACGAGCACGCAGGCTGGTGGGAGGAGAGCACACACAGTTGACCCGATGAACGCCTGGAAGTCCTGCACTCGGTTCCCTGTGGAAGCGGCGATTTGCTCCCCGAGCAGCAAATGGACTATCGGCTAGATGAGGGAGGAAATTTCACTTTCATGAAGAATTTGCCCAAGCCATTTCTCGCCTGATGAGGGTCATCCCGCATGAACTGCCAACTGCGGAGGAGTCTGCTTCTGATTGACTTCGAGGCAGAGGACGTGCGGTCCGAGCTTGTCGAGGGATGAAAAAGGAGATGCTTCGCGGGCACGCTGTCTACTCACGCAGTTCGGTAGTATTCTTCTGGTTTAGGCGATCTTCGCCTCCCATTCGACTGAATCTTATTGCTGAATTGATTCGCCCGATAGTTCGTGAGCCAGACGTCGTAGCCGTGGTCGGCCAGAACGAAGGCAGTGCTCTCGTTCCGAAGGTTACTCATGTAATCGAATGATGAGCCTCCGAAACCATGGGATAAGACCACGGGAGTTGAAAGTTGTCGGTCGTAGACATCCATGCTCCGAACCCTCCACAGTTGAAGGATCCAGCCGTCAGGCGTCACGACATCATGGTAACTTAAATTCATGCCGTGAATCGCAGCATAAGCAGCCTGAGGGAGCGAAATGAAGCCCGGCAATTAGAAAAAAATATCAATCAGATCAATGAGCCGAGTAACGGAGAAAGCCTCTGAAAGTATCATAGGTCACTTGAGCCAATCAATTCGATTCGTGGAATTCTTACGTAATCATCTCTGCGTAAAGCGGCTAATTCCTTCTCGATCCCCGAAAGCGAAAGTCCATCGACTACGAGAATCGAAGCGAGAATCAAGAGTTGCACTTCCATGTCCAGAATGGCTGATTTTCACCGGTCTCTCGGCAGCCAGTCCGCAGAAGTGAAATAGTTCAGTGTGGGAGACCAGGTTTTGCACGGAATTCTTCGGTGGACCATGAGTGACTTGCCTCCTCGTCGTATCTCAGCGGAGCGCGAAGAGCTGAACTCTCAGAAACAATTTTCGAGCCTGACTTGCGGTTTCCGAACTGACTTCCAAACTAAGGACGATCTTGGGGACAAGCGATTCTACAGACTCTGTGGTCATCGAGGTGGATTTTGATCTGGATGGGTGTGGATACGCTTTCTGCATCTTGACAGCTCGGGAACGTTCCGAAGGTCGATCGAGAGATCGACGGATCAAGACCCTTTTCGAGATACGACATCAGAGTGACTCCTGAAATCCTAACCCCGAGTTCTGCCGTTATTGCATCACGTGCTCCAGCTCTCCCAGAACAATCGAAAACATGGAGTCGACGTCGGCGTCGGAGTCCAGGCACGAGTCCGAGTGCCAAAGGATCACCGAATGGCATGCCAAACGCGATTCGATCCATTGGGTATCCTCGAAAGGCCTTCGCCGCCCTAGTTTTATTCGTCAGTCATTTCCCGCTTCTAGGCTACGGGAAATTCTCGCAGCATCCGGAGCGAGGCGGATTGAGAGCTTCCCTGCGCGTTCGAGCATTCGACTTATTCGCGCTTATGGCATCTGTATCCCGACGACGCGTCTCCGACGGCACATCTGTGTACGGCTTTCGCGACTTTGACGACGGACAAGTCGCCAGTGGAATTAGGCCATCTCGCAGATGTCGTTGTCACAATTCTAGACGATCTGGACATTTCGTGACCCTTCAAACTCTAAAAAGCACAAGGACGATCAAAACAGATATTCTCATGTGCATTTCTCGAGACAAACGGAGGACATGTCGTATTGAGCTGTCGTTCCCCGGTAGATGTCAGGAGAGTGACCCAATTTCAGCATGGTGTGTGTATGAGACAGAGGAGTATCGATTCGAGACCTTCGGAAGCCGTGGACTATCGTACTCAGTTCTCCCAGTTTCAAATCACCAAGGTGAACCTCACTGCCCTCAGTCTCGCGGACCGGCAGAGCCAATTGTCGCTCGACGCTGGGGATCTTGAGGAGCTCTCGACCCTGCGGCCCGTGATCATCCGCATCGATCAGAACAGAGATCGGAGATGACTCTGGCTAGCAGGGGCGGATCCAGGAGTCCTCCAAGGGGGGGCGTCAATGCATCGAGGGAGAGGCGGATCGATACCTGGGTCCTGCTATAACATGGGGAGCATAGGAAGTCGGAAGTCTCG